GTGGAAAGAAGTTTTATACGAGGTAAAAATGTCGCGTGCTTGTATAATTTGATGTCTGGCTAATGGACACGATTGATGCATTAAGAGAACATATGGCTCGGTTACACGCGTGTTCCTACTTTTTCTCGCGCGAAACCGCTCGCTTCAAGGATCATTTCATGCGGCCTCGTTTCCGGTCCGTGCTAAGGCAGATGCAGTTTCATTCCCGTCAACAATGTCGAACCACATTCCGAGGAATCGATGGATTCTCGTGGCTGTCCCTTCTCGATTTTCTGACTACGCCGAAAATTTGGCCAGATGGCGAATGACCATGGTACTTGAACCGTTATAAATATTATCATCAGCTCGTAACGAAAATTTAATGACAACACTGCTGATTCACTCGCTGAATTCTTCTCTTAATCGTTGAACAAAAAGTTTTATTGATGTTTTGAATATTGTTTTCTCAGAATTACAGGCAAACGAGAAAGCAGCGATTGTTATTTGTTTTGAAAATTATTTGGTCGTACTTCTATTACTATAGCTGACTAATTCGTAAATTATTTTATTTTTCTATTACTTAAATATGTAATAGTGAATTATTATTTCTTTATAAAACATTTATTATAAAAATCAGGATGACATAATTTATAACGAACTTAGGACTAGGGTGAGAGAATTAATATAAATATCTAAAAGAATTGTACAATTTATATAGGAATAGATCGTAAAGCGTCTTGTAGCTTTTTCCTTGCTAAAGCAACTCGATCCTCTTGCCTCTTGATGTCTTCGTCAGCTATCGAGACGGCCTGAAACAAAAAAGAAATTAATTTATCGATTATATTTCGACGATAGTTTGAGCTAAATGTTTGATTTAAAAATTCTCTATTGTTTTCGTCGATATACCCTTTCAAACCTCCAGTACATAATTATTTACATTCCGTAATAGGGTGTTTGATCAGGATGTTTGGTTAAGTGTATATAACACGTAACGCAAGTTGAGTTTAATATAAGCACCCTATTTGGTATCTAAATATCTATTCTACCTGTACGAGGGGTTGATCGGGATTAAGAAATACCCCGGGATTTTTCTCTAAAGCTGTCTTCGAACCCGTTTGTCCCGTGACTGGTTGAGACGAAACATGTAATGCAGTTGCAACACTTTGAAGCAAAGTTTCTTCCGTAATATACGGACCAACTGGCTTCAAACTTTTTGGTAAATCCATTCCATCGAATTCAAATCCATCTGGATCGCATGCTCTTAAACCTTCCAAACGTTTTTCCCAAAATAACTGTAAAATTGAAAAGAATACTTATATATAATTGATCATATTTATATGAAATAATATGTATTATCTTATACGAGACAACGAAATAACGAAATAATAAACTGACACACATAAAAAATCTAATAAAGAAAAATACTCTAATCACAAAAGCAAAATATATTTGCTGAAATATATGAAATAAAGAAAATTATATTTTTTAATTGCCTGTACTATATTTTGGCCAGTAAAAAACATGAAAAATATGTAGAGTAGAGAATTAAATAATAATTCATATAATACATTTAAAAAATGTGAATCTTATGAATCTGATTTTTATAAAACATTCGGATAACAAAAAATTTTCTAAAAAAAACATGCACTATGCAACTGTTTGTAAAGAAATTGACAATTATGAATATCTATTTATAAATATATTCTATTCAAATGATAGAAAGAAACATACAATAATTATTGATTCCACAAGCACATCGAACAATATATTACCTGTTTAGGCTTATCTTGGGAGCCATATTTGCCATCAATTTTATCGGCTCCTTCCTAAACGAATGATTTGATGATTGAACCACAAGAATTTAGGGGGAACATTAAATACCATAATAAAATTACAAATTATAACTTGATCACACAATCAAAGATCTTGGGACATTACATTTATGTTTAAAAGGATATGATATATTACAAATGAATTTTATATACATTATGAACATTGAATGGCATAATGAATAAGACATAAAATCTTAAAATTGACAAATTTTTCTCTTTTTAATAAAAAAAATATTACGATTAAAGAATGTCGGGAAAAAACATGGCGTAATACTTTGACTATTTAATACGTATATGTACATAAGAAAAATAAGTAATAATAAAAATAGGTATAATAAATACTAACTTGTTTGGGTTTTTCTTGATTTCCATGTTTAATATCTTTTACTTTTCCTTCCTGTGTCTTATAAATAGTTACTGGTTGTTTAAATATAGATGCGGTTTGTCTTATCGGTGGTACTAACGATGCATCATTTCTGACTCCACGACTAAAAAATAGGTACAGTATATCATAAATATATATAAGGTTAGAATAAGCAATAGTAAATGTTCGTACATCATTGTAATCGACATAAAATATATATAGATTTTTGTTAATTCTTATATACTATACATATACTATATACAATATATATATATATATTATTGTAATATAATGTTTTAAATAAATGTTTAAAATATGGAACGTACCTGTAATAATAAACGTCAACTTTTCCAGTAGATGACAATTGATTTTGGCTTTTTCTCGAAGCCTCTTCTCTGGACGGCCAATTTGTTGGCAGTGCCGATGGATATTTCTTTTTTTCCACTGACATATTCATTTTGCAGAATTATTTATTTCAATATATTCGCACGTTCTTTAAAACTACTTAAATAATTAACGACCGGGAACATGAGCCAGCTACCGGTGGCCATATTGATGCGTTCCGCTAAATTCGAGTAGGTTAGTGCAGATCAGTTCGAATAATTATCTACATGGTGGCGGTACTATCTATACCCTGTTATTGAACCATCATTTGCAATATTTATTAAGATTAATATGATAATTTGTATTATATGTAAATTAAAAAATACGATTTATATTATATTTTTTTTTATTAAGATTGTTACGTTATTTATGAATAAGAAAAAATTGAATTATACAAATATTTTTTTCTTATTATACCACCTAGCGGTGAGTATAGTAATAATAAGTAATTTTAAACTCTACAAATGGACATCGACGAGCCATCTAGCGGTGAATAATATAAGTAATTTTAAATTTTACAAATGGATATCGACGAG